TCTAATTCAGACTGGACGCAGCAAGCGTCAAACAGCGGAGCAACAACCAATCAGTGAGGCGATTTTACAGTGGCGTAAAAAATATCATCTTGCTGATTGGTTGCTGCTCCGCTGTTTGACGTGCATTCAGTCTGCACTAGGCATTAGGCCGGATCTACAATATGTGTTTGAAGCCTTAAGCCGTAAGAAATTGACCAACTACAGTCGAATGCGAGGAGAATAAGTGATTCTGATTCGTTCATTCCTTATGGCTTAAGGCTTAAAAATCTATTGTAGATCCGGAGTTAGGACTTAATTTAACCAACTTCGATTAACTAATCGGTCGATTAGTCCATTAGAATTTGCCAATCGCATCTGTCGTTAAACAAAATGACAAAACATTGGATTAAACAAAAAAATTATATAGGGATGGGCGATATGCATCTCGATACATTAACAATTATTTGAAAATCGCCCTTTTGGTGAAAGGAAACGATTTTTTTTACAAAAAGATTGAAGATTGGAATAACCTCAAACATGATTTTTCCATTCACTATTTTGCAATATTGATTTTTTTACGCATTGATATTGGCGTATCGATATCGATTGAGGTATCGATACTTTTATACCTGGCATATTTTAAGGTATCGAAACTTTAGTACAATGCATATTGATGTAAAATATCGATGCAATCGAAAGTATCAAGCATCCCTACCGAAAAATCATACGCCTTTAGATAAGAGGCAGTGATAGGAGATGACAAGAATTCGTCTGCTCTAGGAAACTGTGCACATGCGTATAACTGAGCAGTCTTAACTGACGTACATATTTGGTATTATAAGACCCCTAATAACGATTAAGAAAGTTGTAGGGAGAAAAGGAAGATTTTTATTAAAGATATATAGTGTATTCATGAATAATAATAAATTTTGTCTTTTATTACGTCTGCAGCCGATTTATCATATGAATACCAACATATCGTTCGAAGAAATAGCATTCGAGAAAGTCACTATAATGACGTACACTATCTAAGAGGTTAAAAAAGAAATAATTCATTACTATAACCTTAATTTAGGAAAAAATTTAGAACGGGTTATAAAGCAGGATAAAGTGTTAAAATTTGAGATTGTCCCTTCTAATTTGGGTTAGTCACTCAGATGTACAGGAGTTCCAGAAGCACCCGTATTCTGTATTGCTCCGTATGTTCCATCATTGGATCAAGCTGCCACGTCATTTTACGCATGCGCACAAAGTTTACTAGAGCAGACGAATTCTTGCTACTTTCCATCACTGGTAAGAGGAAGGGATGAGGTGGACCCATTGTGGAAGGGATAACATAGTGTGTGCTATTAAATAGTTTTAAAATAAGAACGGACTATGAATATCACCCCATGTTTCTCATTTCACAGTTGGTAACCTTTGAATCTTATGAACAGTCCATAGATAGAGAGAGCAGAGAGATTTAAAAAGAGTCACTATCCAACTGAACACACCATGTTATTCTTCCATCATGGATGGATTTTGCTTTGCGTGGAAAATCGTGCATCCTTTGACAGGAGGGAGGTGGGACGGACATCGCTTTGTGTGGAAAGTCGTATGCTCCTAGTTAGGGGGAAAAATGAGGAGGACCTCGCTTCGCGCGCGTGGAAAGTCGTGCACTTCTAGGCAAGGGGGAGATGAAGTTCTTGCGTGGAAAGTAAATATAATCGCGAATAAAAATTCAATTATTTGAAGTGTCATATCCCAGAAACTAGAAAAAATCCGCCACGTGATTCAGAGTGTGCGTGATTCAGCATTGTATCGATTTTAATTATACATATAAAAAAAGTCAAAGTTATTGGTGAGGTTTAACCTTTTCGCAATAATTATCTAAAACATATACTTTACACCAGACTTGTCAGATAGTGGAATCGCGAGTCAGTCACACCGAGAGCGCCGAGTGCTTTTTCTTCTTCGATCCGCCGGCCGATTTCAGGGTCAAGTTGAAGGGTAAAGCGCTTGGCGTTGCAGCTGGCTCGCGAGCCTAGAGTGGGTATAAAGAGAGTAGTGCTAATGCATGTGCCTAATGCTGATTGGCTCCGCCATTAAGTGTCCTTACTGTTAGAAAGAAGATAACGTTAAAGAAAGAAGAGGTTAAGATGAGAAATTGCGTCATATAAAAATGATCACATAGATATGACATGATAGAAATGACATATAGAAATCCCCCAGATGTAGAACACCAAATGGCTTCCAACTAATTGGCGTCACTCTCTTTATACCCACTCTAGCGAGCTACTATTTGACAGGCCTACTTTACACTATGTGAGCTTTACTCTTGTGTTGTCGCAATTTTTATATCTCAACATACATTTAAAAAAAAGGTTAATTACGAAATAGATTTAAATAGATTTAAATTAAGATATTCTGAAAAATAATCTTGTCACGATTGCGCGATTGCGCTATCGACTTATACTCACTTGCGGATGGCTTCGGTACGGCTTTGGTTCCTTTTTAGCCTCGGCCGTTGCGCTGCCGAGGCACTTGCCGAAGAACTGCTAATCTGGACGATTGGCCGCGGTGCGTTTGGCGCAGAAACACTCCTGGCAATGCCAGAACTTACAGCGGCGACGCCGGGAGTGGCCAGCGGCACGGTCGCCGATGCTGTCGTTACCGGCGTCGCCGTCGTCACGGCTGACGATGTCGTGACGCTCACCGGATACATTCCGATACTCTGTGCTGCGTCTCCTTCGCCGGTCGTCGACGATATCGTCGAGGTGCCGGTCGTACCGGAACTCGGTGATGGTTGCCTAAAAACGAGAAAAGAAATGTTATTCCCGTGTTAGGATTTATAAAAGAAATTACTGTGTAAAGGAAGAAATTATTTCTAATTAACTCAAATAATAGTAAATATTGACAGAATAAAAGATTTTTGAGAAAAAAGCTCATTTCATATGTGTAGAGGAGACTGGGGCCAGTTATAACAGAGATAAGTTGTAACAATGCATATATCTTTTAATTGGTAAGAGATAAGATGATCATATGAAGAACAAAAATAGTCGGTATCGAGACCTACATTTATTTCATGCCATTAATCGCGTATGCGCCGTATGTAAAAGAGTTATATATACTGTGTTCAGATAAGCCACGTAAGTGTAAATTTACGATTTTATACTTTTTTATAATACGATTTTATACTATTTTAAACTTTTAAATAAAATGCTTTTAATCGTATTTTTATTTTATGGTAATTATTTAGAATATCCCTTCTCCCTTCACTTAAATCTTAGCAAAAATATACTCATTCGACGCGTTTTCACCGAAAATGAAAGAATCTGGCAAAAAAAAACCGTGATGGTCGGCCTCGTGAATCGAGTTATTAAGCATTAAATTTGGAAATTTTAGAGGTTAAGATATATTTGTCATCCCGATTCGATACAGAACTATGTACACGTTCTGCATTAATTACACAAATTCTCTGCTTTACATCTGTGAGATCACAGACTTCTACATATATTTATATACTGCTAACTCCTTAGGACAAGCTTATATGAAATGGACTCCGAAATTGTATGGTACTTCTGCGCATACGTCAAGAATATATCCAAAGAAATGCAGTATGGCTGTGTTTTGCATCAATTGTTCACATGCTAAACGTATAACCTTATGAAAGTAGTGTGATCTCATAACAAAAAATATTGTTTCTTTTGGAAGAGAAAGTGGTGTGATCTCACGAAAAATTTTGTTTTTTTTGGAAGAGGAAGAGTTCAAATAAAAAGATAAAGCTATTGAAAATAATTGAATGTCAATAAACGTGTATAAAAGATGCGATCTTATTCAATTTCTTATAAATTAGAATAATTTATAATAGCTGGATTATGAAAATACGTATTTGATGATTTTAATACTATTAAAATCATAGGTTAACCTGTCAAAATAGTGTGCGCATGTGCAGATATACGTCACGCGGTCACGCGGAGCGGTTCTCGACGCATGCTTATAATGTTACATTAAAATTGGAGACCACTTTTTCAAACAAGTTAGCAGTCTAGTAGTATATATAGAAATCTGTGAGTGAGATAGCACAATTTTTATCTCCTGCACAATTTCGATGAAAAATGGCGGCCACTTCAGATGATCAGACTCTGATTAGAGGGTCTCTAATGGCGAATTCGGTACACATGCATTGACTCTGCACTAGTGCTGCTCTGACATGGTACCAATGCAGCACGGAATGAATGCTTTCGATCACAGTATAGCACTAACTTGGAGCAACACTGAACTGAAGTAGTACAATTGACACCGATTCGGCTGACCGCACTAGTGCGCACTGAGTGCGAATTTTTTCGATGCCACACATTCGATCAATGCTCTCTGTCTAAGTGCCAAGAAACCTTTGCATTCGGTTACAGTGTTACCGTGCGTTTCATGTTGTAACGAATAAAAATTGCACCAGTGTAGTTTGCATTCAGTGTAGTGTACTAAATTTGTATTCGGTTAATTAAAATGCACTAAATAAGAGCAAGCTTTATTGCACTGAAATTTTTGACAGTGCTAGTTCTATTTTGACGTTAAAAAAAAGCGTCGAGCGTCAGCATAAAAAGGCATCTTAGGGAGATTTCCGCGATACTTTCCTAATCAAATGACAATTTGAATTGCAATATTAACCTTTAATAGGCTTTATCCCATAGACAGGAGTCAATACGTAGGCTGCTGGAAAAGTTTCTGCAAACAATATGAAAAAAAACATGTAAAATTCGGTAAATTGCTTTATTGTTTTTCGAAGTATTCGCCTTTAAGATCGATACATTTTTGCATACGCTCGAACCAATTTTCGAAACATTTTTTCCACTCTAAGGCTGTAACCTCAGAAATCAATGTATGAAATGTTTCAACAGCTGCTTCAGGCGACTCAAATCGCTCACCACGCATCTTATTTTTAATGTTTGGGAACAAAAAGAAGTCATTAGGTGATAAATCAGGTGAATACGGACAATGAGTCATTAATTCGACATTATTACTAGATAAAAAATTAACGGTTTGACGTGCTGTGTGACAGCTGGCGTTGTCATGATGAAGGATGATGCGACGATTTCGGTTTGTTCTACGCAATTTATTTATGACTTCTGGTAAACAAATTGTTGTATACCAATCAGTATTTACAATCCTTCGATCCTCTAAAGCCACGGTTATCATATAACCGAAGAAACAAGCAATCATTTGCTTGGCAGCACTGCGTGAACGAACAACTTTTGTTGGTTTCAGTTCATTTTGAAATACCCAAACAGTGGATTGTTGTTTACTTTCGGGCTCATACGAATAGATCCATGTTTCGTCCTCAGTAACGATGTTGTAGACCAAATTTGATCGACCTCGGTTAAATTTCTTGAGCATTTCTTTGCTCCATTTAACACGAGCCTGTTTTTGAGCTTCGGTCAAATTGTGTGGGATCCAACGACTGCAAGGTTTCCCTACGCTCAAGTGATCATACAAAATCGTATGTATTGCTTTCATGTCAATGCCTAAGGATGCCTGAATCTCGCGGTATGTTATATGCCGGTCTCGCTCAATCATTTCATACACAGCATCAACATTAGTGGCAACAACAGACGTGGATGGATGACCTTCACGGAATTCATCATTAAGAAAGGTACGTCCATGCTGGAATTCGGCAAACTAATTATAAACAGTCCTATTGGATGGTGCTTCATCCCCAAAAACCAAATGAAGTCGATCGATGCATTGTTTCGGAGTTAGATTACATTTGTAATTGTAAAAAATCATTGCCCGAAAATTTTCACGCGAAATTTCCATTTTCTTACAAAATAACTTCTTTTAAAATACTATGCAAACAAAACTAGTTGGCTTGGGTGCAAACTGTCAATTGAATTATAGGTTAAAAACGTCTAATTTTACGGATATGATAGTAGCAGAACGTTGGCGCCACTGGAAGTACTAGATTGCAGAAACTTTTCAAGCAGCCTACGTATAATTAAAGACAGTTTAAATTTTTTAACGGTTAAAATAACATAAAATACTTTATCAACAATATCTAATTCGCTATATAATGTCATTAGGTATACATATTATTGTTAATTTTATATATAAAATATTTTAAATTAACAAAATAAGAGTTATAAGAGACTTATTTGATGACCGAGGTTTGATTAGTATGCTTGAGATTATGTATCATTGAAATTATATACATGTCCTATTTTCAAAATAGTGCACATGGTAAATAACGGAGATAATATAACGTCGCAATTATACGATAAATCTATTTTTGATCTCATTCAGTGCATTTTGTTTAACCGAATATAAATTTAACACCGGTGCAATTTTTATTCGTCGAATATAACATGAAACTCGCATGGTAACATGCAATCTAACCAAATGCGAAGATTTTTTTGGCACTGGGGCAGAGAATATTGATCGAATGTGTGGCATTGAAAAAGTTCGCACTTAGTGCGCACTAGTGTGGTCTGCCGAATTCGCTATAATTTTCATGATCCATGTGCGCATGCATTGTTGTTATTTCTTATTATAATAGATATTCACTGTTTTACAAACACAAATTCACTGCTTTAATAGCAAATTTACTGTTTTAAAAACAAAAATAATATAAGAAGAGAAATATAATTTCTCTTTTAGAGCAGATAATTTATTTTTAAAGCATTGAATTTAAGTTTTTAAAGCAGTGAATTTGTGTTTTAGAACAGGTAATTTGTTTTTAGAACATGTTACAACTTTCTTCAGCTCTGTTTTATTTTGTCTCAAATCGGGGCAAGATGTATTAATTCGGATTTTGATATTTTACTCATAAACATCCTAAAATTACATCTTTTTGCAAATAGTAGCATAAATCTAAATAGTTGTTGCGTCATGTGTATTAAAAGAAATAAATATATATGTTACAAATAGAGAAATATATGTATTTTTCTAAAAATTGGTACATACAACTGTCCTCAGTCTCTCTATAAGAGATATTTTCGTTATTATTTCGTCGACAAGAAAATATGTACATACAATCCAGTCGATTGTTGACTTCGATTAATTTTAAAACTGAAGAGGAAGTATGGCATAAGAAACAAATGCATCAAGTTGCAAGTAACGCATTAAATGTCGCAAGTTATTTAATAAATAGATGTGCTAGGTTAGATAATGTCCAAAAAATTTGAATAATATGATATAAATGATTTCACAAATTTCAGATTTGGTGGACTTCGCTTCGCGTAGAAAGTTGTACTTTTCTAGGTAGGAGGAAAGATGGACCTCGCTTTGCGTGAAAAATTGTAAAATATATTTTTAAAGCAAAAAATTTTTGTTTTATATAATAGAAAAGAAATATAAAATCTTTTTGTTAATAATTTTTTAATGAATAATGAGCGATAGCTAAAACCTTAGTTTACATCCAACGACCTGACTTGTATCTTGACCTTTACCCTAACTTAAAGGAGGTCTCGAACGGAGCGTTTACCCATCTAGACCTATAAACCCGTATTCAAAACGCACTTTTATCTCTGAAATTCTATAATATGCGTGACATAAAGTATTGTATGTTAGCGCGCTAACGTCGTTGTAAGCGCGTTCTGAATACAGACCATAATATTTTTAGGCCTAATGTAGGTCGCATTTAGTTAAAACGCTAGATATCAAAGTAGCCCATAGGTCCTCCATTTTGGATCTACTAATCATACTCTATACTAATAATACTAAGCGCTTATTGGACTACAGACAACTAAATCGAAATGGTGGTCGAAATAGCCAATAGGAAGGCTGTCGGTATTTCGCCTCAGATAAAAGGAATGCGTTATTTTGGTATCTAGAGCTTTACATTTAGTCTCACGTGAGTGCCATCTACCAATATTTCTTTACATTTTACGCCTTTAAGCCATCTACCTGTTAAAGCTGATTAGATCGTGTGGTTTAAGAGAGATCAGGGATCTTGAAAAAAATCCCTCACCTAATTAGCGAGATTATAGCTATTTACATCGTTGTATTTAGGTTACATTTAGAGTGTAGATAGCGACATCTTTCATTCATTTTTTATATTTATTAAATATCGTATTTCACTCAAACGCATTCATTTATTCTTATCTAACATATTGCAACTCCATCTCTTGCAAGATCGAGCATCTACTGTTAGATACAGTTATTGCTTTGTTTACCATTCTCGTCGCTTAGCATTCATATATACGTAATTTGCAAATCGATATAAATCTTTCTTTTTAAACTTTTAATCTTAGTTTTATAAACTCAGTATTGATTGCATGTACATAATGCTGGTGCTGAACTATCGTTTTGTCCATAGGAGCTATAATTAAAGCATACAGAAAAATTTCTTATTTATTCACCAGAATCTTTAATTTTTAAAGAATCTCTAATTTATTCACCAGTGCTTATTAATTACAAGCAATAAATCACACATTATTAGAATAATAATAAATTAGATTTCTATTTATGCGTGGTAAGCGAAAAAATATCTTAGAAATATACGCACGCGGTATAAGACGTGGTTTGATTTATACTTGTGCAAATAAAAAGGAAAATTGCGCCGGGAATTTCTGTGATGCCACATTTTTCTCGCAGCGGCAGCTGCATCCTTCGCAACTCCGCATTCATTTAGGCGAAGTGCAGAGTCTCAAGCAAGAAGGAAGAGGTGAGTCAATATCGCGCACATCAAGGCTAATTAATAGTGAGTCGTCTCTTTTTAGATGCGCTACCACCCCTTTGCAGCGGATACAATACGTCAAGTTAGTAATTTTCTCGGCAAATTTGTAAATTTTTTACTCGACTACGGTAACTCAAAATGGATTTTATGGAAACGATTAAAATATTAATTAGCCACAGTAAGAGGTAAATATTTGAAATAATAAATGGGCGTTAATTTCCTCAACAAAGAGAGGATAAGATGACGATTAATATTCAGATCTTTACTCAAGTGAGAACACGAGGACAAAAAGAAAAAAGATGCACCTAAAACAAATTTACAGAAAAAATGCTACGCTATGCTGCAAGACTGTCCCATGAATAGATGAGGAGAAATAGAATTGAGGAGTTAGCAGAGCTTGCAACTTTCGTGCAACATGAATACAGCAGAAGAGCATATGAAAGAAGCAATATTTCTTGGTGCTTATGCTTAGAATATGTTTAAGAGAATTTAAGGTTTGATTATTAAAAGTTCATCATTAATATTTGACTTTTTGACACATTTTATTTTAAATAAATTAAAAAGTTTAAGTTTTTACACAAATGTTGAATCAATATTTCAGAAAATGTTGAAAAGATGTAAAAACATTCAATGTCCATTGAATTTATATCTTACAGATATTAGCAATTCGATATTCAAGAACATTTCAAGACTTATATTCAATTTTTAATTTCCAAAAATATCACAACTTTCTGAAATAATTTTCGCATGAAACTAAACAAAATATTTTCAAAATACATTTCTTTTTATTTTGAAGCTCTTGAGTCGCCTTTAAGAACTTATTTAATTAGAGCACGGATTGAAAATTTTATAATGTTATGTTTTTATTCTATCTTGTATAATGGTTTTTTATTTATGAGATATATAACTCCACCACATCCATCTAATGGCGATGCCGCATTCTTCTCTTGAATGAGTTGGAGTTTTAGATTATAAGAGTAGCGCAATTTTTTATCTGAATTTTTCTATTGACTATTTCGATTTTGACTATTGCTATTTTTTGCTCCATGGTCTATCATCCAATAAACGCTTAGTAATTCTTTAATATCGTATGGTTATTAAGATAAATATGACGAACCTTTGCGTCAAGTCCTCTTACTCTTTTAATGTGTCTGATGACTTCTATCATAGAGCGCGTATAGAGCGGACTAAACTGAATCGAAAAGTTTTCTATCATTTTGCAAATTTCCCAATAGTTAACAAGATAATTACTAAAAATTGCCGAAAATCTTCAATAATTTTTTAATCAAATACTATCAACTTTACAGAAAAACTGCAAGAGAAAAATTATTTATTTTCTTCTCATAGGGCTCTAAGAATTTTTTTTAGAATTTTTTATCAACTTTTTAGTATTACATTTTTTTATTTTTACCAATATGAGAAAAAAACGGTATTAAAAAATTTTGAAAAAATTTCGAAAAAATTTTTTTAGTCCGCTCTATCTACACACTCTATGGCAGAAGTCTTGCCTAACACCCAATATATAGTATGTATTAGGATAAGTGACTTTTTAATTTTAACAACATTAATAGTCAATTCAGAACAATCAATACAGATTCAACATTGGAAAAAACATTCACACTTTAACACTGAACAATGCAAAGTCTCAGCAACGTTCTTTTAATGTTTTGTATAGGTTATATATATATATTTTTGGAAAATAATAGTTTCGTCATTCTTTAACTAACATTTAAAGAAATTAGCTAATAAACTCTTATATAAATATGGTAAAATATCGAAGAAAATCAGGCAGTCTCTATTTTAGTGTTCCGTATTCGCTATTCGCGATGTCTGCTAATAATTTCTATATTGTTCTGGAAATTTTCCGATCAACGCGAAAGAAGTTTTCATCGTAGAAATATTCTGATCGGAAGAGTCGAGGCAACGCAATGCTTTGGCCTACACTCGGTTAGCACTTAAGATGAATGTTTAAGTTTTAACATAAATATAACGTCTCGTTTCCGCTTGTTTCGCCATCGTGTGCCACCACCTCGGCCGGAAATTAAGGATGTCGCGACGCCCGTCTCCCGTCCAATTTCATTAGCCCGTTTCGATTTGATAAGACGCGACCGCATGGATAAATACATAGGTCGATGATAAATTGCATGCCAGATAAACGAACATTTACAATAAATGAGAGCAAATGCGCAGGATGTTTCAGAACAATTATAATACTTTATAAAAAGCCATTATCATTTATATTTTCGTTGTGGATGCAGCTATACTTCATTATAAAATTAAATTCATTACAAAATTTTGATCAAATTTTAACTATTCCTTAGAACAAAATTTTATTTGAGAACTCTTATTATCATGTATATGTATATCAATAGAATTAATGTATTATAATAAAGTTTAGAACCAAAAAACAGCTAAAAATTGAATCAAAAGAATTTATGTATAAAATATACAATATTAAATAGAGAAAAATTTTTTAGGAGGAAAAAAAAAAGAATTGATTAACATTATAATTTTGCAAATCTTTCATTTATATGTACTCGTATATACTATGAAGCCGGCTTGTTTTTAAAATAAGAAATTTCTGTCAACAGGTTTTTTTGCAGAGCACACATCTTATATTTCAATAATAAAATAAATTTTTCTTTGATTTTCTTGTAAAATCAATACATCCGAACTTTTTATTTGCGTATTTTAATTCTGTAAAAAAATTTGCAATCCGTAAAACTGATTTGAAGATTTTGGTTGCACTGTGATTTGTAATTGACATCGCTCCAATATTCTCTTAATTAATTTGATTTAAGGGAGAAACATGACATACTGCCTAAGTGTTCTCCCTCTTGCTGGGTTACATTTTTCTTCGTTGCCAACCTCGAGAAAAATTCTAAGGATACTTATTCTCTGTACTATGACTCTCTCTTGTACAACAATGGATCTGGCACTTTCTGAAAATGCAGATGACTAGATACATATCGTATTTACTGCTTCTTTTTCCTTCTCCTTTATCTACTCTACTTTTAAATAATCTTCAATGTCGCTTAGTGACGCACCGTTTTTCTATAATAGTTCATATAGGAAATTTCTATTTGGACTATACGATAGGATTTATCAGATGTTAATGCCTACGATCAGACAATATGAGAAAGATTGGGATAATAGTGGAAAAATCGAACAGGAATTTAACAAAGAGAGATAACAAAAATCATCCGGATTGAAATCATGGGATGATAAAAGTCGATATTCATTTCATGGAAGTAGTAAAAAAAACTACAATAAATTAAATGAACGAAATAAAATCTAAAATAAATAAGGGAAGCAGATAAAACTAAAATAAGCTAGGAAAAGACTGAAACAATTGTACTGTGAGGATTAGAAAGAGAAATTAACAGAGTCTGGATGAAACTGAAAGAGATCTGGAAATAATTCGAGAGAGAAATGAATTTGAAAGATCTCATGGAATAAATGTAACGAAGAGGAAGACAACGTGTCAGACTGCGGAGAGACAGATTCAAATGATCCGATAGAGACTGTTGGATGTTAGCAGATATCATCTCACGCGTTTAAAAATGAGTTGGAAGAAATTGCTACGAACTGAGAAGGAATCGAAAGGGAGACAGAGAAAAATTGAGCGCAAAAAGAGGACCAGGAGAGAACGGATGGAGGGAGAATGAAATAGCAGAGCAAGGAGAAAGAGGAGAGAGGCTGGCCGCCTATGTCATCCGCGGAGAAAAGACAGAGCTTAAAGCACGCTACCACCTATCAAGCAGTAAATGGTATAGCGATGTGCCCTGGTTGTTTTTCACGTGATGGATTTTACAACGCGAGATATTACTCTCCTCCTCCCGCCTCTCTATACCCCTTTTTCGCTACCACACCACCGCCAGCCGCCGACCTTAGCAGGGTGTGGCCTCCATCCTGCAACTTTTATATCACTTTTTCCATCCACGTACGCCAACGAGATTGACATTCTTCAAACCCTCCTCTTCCTCCCTCACCTTCTGCATTCTTGTCGCCGCGCGTTAAACCGTTGCCTTTAACCTTTAACCCTTTTAATCCTAGCTAGACTATAGTCGGCATTCATGTGAAAACTGTGGGTTCTAGCGCCGATTATATCGGCATCCATATACGAGCTAGATTACATTTTTTTCATTAATGTAAATAAATGTATCGTATAAATAATGAAATATAGAACAATTGTTTTTATTAAAATCTAATTTTCATTATCAGTGACAAGCTTATTTTATAAGACTGCACATATATGTAATTATCTAAAAAATGGACACTCACAGCAGACTTTCCCGTACAAAGAAACCACATTCGCGAACATTTATACTAGAACAAAAGGGTTAGTTATCATTTCTAAGTCTCCTCGCTCATTACTATGACTAATAGTCCGCGATTGTGATTGTAAAACAATCGCATTAGTGATTTGTTTTATTCGTTTCATGTACCTACCCTTCGCTTATCACACGTTATACTCACTGTTCATCATACGTTCGCTAATTAATCGTGCAATGAAAGAGGTCGATTTTTTCTGCGCGACCCGCTTTAGGTATCGCCACTTTCACACGCAGCGTGTGCGTTGACGCTTGCCACACTAGCCGTTAATCTTACCAGCCATCCGAGCTATCATTCGTTATTCGCATGAATAAGGAAAGATTCTTTTACAATTATATATATGTGTGTGCGCGCGCGCGCGCGCGCGTGTACACACACACACACACACACACAGTTCTTTTTATCTATTTATCTCCGTAATAACAATAATCGAAGAGCTTTAGTGTAACAATATCGCGGGTAAAGGCTTATCACGAAAAAAATTCTATAAGCAAAGTTAATATGACTGCATGTTATGTTCGCACTTATCACAAAATATATTCTTTACGTTAAAAGTGGCGTATTTTTGTTAATAATTTTATTTTTAAAATTTTATTTATTTATTTTTATTAATGCTACTTTATAAATAAATATCGTGAATCTGGATAGTTATATTATCAATTTATGCATTATATTTTTACGTGTATAATTATATTGCAGAAGTTTTTTTTCGATATCATTCATTAAATGCACTTTCATTAGAAAACTTATTCCTTTTTTGACACTAATCATTTTTTAAATAAATTCATATTTACAAGTATAAAGGAGAATATTTATAAAAAGTCCAATTTTTGGCTCCTCTGCCGAATCTTAAAAAAAGTATGTTATTCCAGACCCATATGAAATAGTTAAAGAAGTTTTGTATCCTAGAAATACGGAGAAAGTACAATAGATTTTTTAAAATATTTCCTTTTGTAAGTCGTAATTTTCGTACACCACGCTAGAAATTATTATGAATCAAATATTATATATTGCAAAAGTTTGTCATGATAATTGGTATTTGAAGGTTTCAAGAATCGTTCACCATGAATCTATTATTAAAAATGTT